CACCCCCCGAGAGAGAGAGGGGGAGGGGGAGAACGAGAGACTCCATGCAGTTACAGTCTAGTGAACACATACGAAATTGGCGGTGTGCAGAAATCTTTTACTTTTTGTGGTTTTTATAATGTACATGTTTTAAATAGGCTACATGTACTTAGAAACACATGACTATATCTCGGGCGTCTCTTGGCATAGATGAAACATTAATGTGTCAAAAGATGCAGAATTGTGTTGCATGTTGAATAAGTGGGTAGTGCATAGATGTGTGGGCAGTGAGAGGCTTTAACACGATGGTTGAGTGACGACATTTTCACGTTTCTTTTGGGTACCACGCTATATGACATTGTGTTACACATGCCTTACTCTTACTCAAACAAAATTATCACTATTATGTTAAGTACATTATGACCTAAGCCTACTCTATGTATATAATATGGCTCTTTTCGTCTATGCAGACGGTCAATTTAGCTTAAGATGGTCTCAAGGTTGTCTTCATCATACTTCATGCAGCTTCTTTCAAGGCTAATTCTTCCTATGTTTGAAGCGCAGATTCTGTCGCAGTGCTTGCATGTATGTGTCGTAGATCGAAGCTCTGTATTTCCGCTGTTTTCCTTTCGTCGTAGGCGCTTCTCAGCCTGGTTGTTTATAAGGCTGCTCTCTAGCATTATACATGTAGTTCTTTCCTTTATCATTTTCCTCCATGTTTTCCTGTCCTGAGCTATTTCTTCCCAGATGCTAACATCTACTCCAAGCTTAGATAAGCTGTTTTTGCAGGTGTTTCTGTACCTCATTTTTGGTCTTCCTCTTGGTCTCTTTCCCTTGGCAAGTTCTCCATAGAAAAGTGGCTTCGGAATCCGGTTGTCGTCCATTCTCTTGACATGGCCCAGCCATCTCAATCTTTTTAAACTCCGGATAGTTGTCATGCTCTGGAGGTTTGCTCGTGCCAACATTTCAACATTTGTAACCTTGTCGCACTACGAAATGCCTAAGATCTTGCGGCAGCATCTGAGATGGAAAATGTCGAGGCACCTTTCTTGTCTGCTGTACAAGGTCCATGTTTCAGATCCATAAAGGAGTCTGCTGAGGACACATGCTTCGTAAATCTTGATCTTTGTTTTGATGGTTAATCTTTTGTTTTCCCATGCTCGTTTTGTTGGCCTTCCAAAAGTTGTTGTTGCTTTCCCTATCCTGGTGCTGATCTCATAATCAAGTGATGTAGTAGAGCTGATGGTAGACCCCAGGTAACAGAACTTGTAAACTGTCTCAAGCTGCTTGTCGTTCAGCCATATGTGGCTCTGCTCTGCACCTTCTTGGGTAAGGATGACTGTTTTCTTAACACTGATGACCAAGCAAAAGGCCTTGCATGCTGTTGATTGGCGGTCCATCATGGTTTGTAGGGTTGGTTCACTGTGAGCAACAAGAGCAGCATCATCGGCGAAGAGAAGGTCTCGTACTGTTGTTTTGTTGATCTTGGTCTTGGCCTTGAGTCGAGCAAGATTGAAGAGCGACCCATCAGTTCTCCAGTGGAGGAAGACATCCCCTGGGGACTCTTTAAATACGTGTTGCAGTAAGACAGCAAAATAGGTGCTAAAAAGTTTGGTGCTAAGACACAACCTTGCTTTACTCCGCTATTGATGTTGAAACTGTTTGATGTTGAACCGTCAAACTGAATGGTGGCCTTCATATCTTCGTGGAATGAGATGATGAGCTGTAGAAGTATTGG